ATATATAAATTTGTATACAGTATAAAATTCACAAAGTTAGAGATAGTTATTATATTATTTACTTATATATTACGCTTAAAAAAGTGAAGGGGTGGCGGAAAGACAAGGGAAGACGCGGAGAGATGTTACGATGCCTGAGCCAATCAGCGTGAGGAACGCTGTGTTCGATCTTCTCTGGGTAAATAAAGCTACCAGCGATGTCTTTTAGTTTTCTTTTTTGCGATATTTGTCGGAGAAAGCTCAATTCAGCCGCTTGTATCTGGGATCTCGTTCTTTCGGTCATGACCCAAAGCTCATGACCATAGGTGAGGGTAGGAACGTAGATTGACCGGTAAATCGAGAGCTTTGCCTTTCGGCTCAGCTCCTTCTTCACCACAACGGACCGATACAGCCACTGCATTACTGCGGCCGCTGCACCGATCCGCCTGTCAATCTTACGCTCCATCCTACCCTCACTCGTGAACAAGACCCCAAGATACTTAAACTCCTCCACCTGAAGCAGGACTTCCTCCCCAACCCTGAGGGTGCAAATCACCTTTTTCCGGTCGAGAACCATGGCCTCGGACTTAGAGGTGCTAATTCTCATCCCAGCTGCTTTACACTCGACTGCAAACCGCCCCGGTGTTTGCTGCAGGTCCTGGTTCGAAGAGGCCATCAAGACCACATCATCAAAGCAGAGATGAAATCCGGTGAAATCCGGTATGCGATATTTGTACTGTTTAATTTTTTGTAGTTTAGAAAAAGTTTTTGTATCACAAAAATAATAAAAATATTGTAAACTAAAAAAATATTTACCGTAAAATATCGCGATATAGCTAAACTCTCACGAGATTGGAATAAAAAACTCTACTGAGGGAGTGAAAGGAGAACCTCAACTTGACAAATCTAGGATTAGTGACACTTTAAAGATACCAAACAAATGTTATGACCCTTTTGATTACTTTTGTGGACCCAGTAGAGGTTGCAGACCTCAGGGAGAACAGGGAGAACCCTTCAAATATAAATATAAATATATCTTTTTATTTTCATTCATTATTAATCTTAATTCGTCAACTGAACCATGAGGCTGTGGGGGTTTTCAGGACCACATGTATTGCAAGAAAATGTTGGTACTTGCTCAATATGCCACAGCTGGCCGAGGTAGGATTTGAACCTGCAACCCTGATATTTGAATTTGTAGAAATAAATTGGAGGGAGTGAAAGGAAAACCTCAACCTGACAAATCAAGGATTAGTGACACTTTGAACAGAGGTCAGACTACCGGGTGTTTTATAGCTACCCATTAAGCTAGCTATAAATAAATATGAACAGATGAGTTAATAGTCAGTGCGTTACATTTGTCAGTATCTTTCCGGAACAGATGATGTTTTTCATTCAGTGAGGTGCTTTGTGTAACAGACATAAAGAGCCAGAATGAAGTCTTATTGTGACGACCTTCCGGGACTGTAACTTTGTTCCTCTGTGAAAAGCGAAATATAATGTACTTACGGATGAAGAATGTGGCCTCGTCAGCGTCACATTTCCCTCTGTGATTCACACATTTGTATATGGAAACCTTCTAATAGACTTCTCTGTGGGCAGGGATGTTCTAATGGTTTCCTTGACGATCAAGTACAGCCGCTGTAGCTATAGCATAAAGAAGGCGGCCAAAGGTTGACATCAGTTTCGCTCAAGATGTTCCCTTACAAATGGCACAACAAAACACAAATAGCATGCAAGTAATAAACCAAACAGATAAGCAGTTTGAGCATTTGTATCCTGGCACGATAACCTTACCATGTCCAATAGTAACTTGGAGTATCTGCCAATACAGATGTAAATTCGATACCTTCTTTTCCGATACCTTCTTTTCTCCTCCAGCATGCCGTGGACTAGCGTTGCTGAGGCAATATTGTCCCTGTTAACGACATGTTGTGTTAAGTTATGTTTAGCATTTAGGCCTAGGTATCGTCTCGGTCGGATTTTATTTATTTTTTAGGTTTGATTCTGAGATTTTGACAAATACTGGATCGATACCGATACAGAGTATTGGATCGAAAACCGATACTGAGTATCAGATCGCGTCATCCCTAGTCTTATTCCAACCTCTAATGGCAAAATTAGGGATGTCCGCTATTAACTTTTTGCCGAAATCCAATATGCCTATATTGTTCAAACACTTACCGTATTTTCCACACTATAAGGCACACTTAAAAGCCTGTAATTTTCTCAGAAATCGACAGTGTACCTTATAACACGGGGCGCCTTATGTATTACCTTTGATTGCGCTTACTGAGCTCAAACCAATTCAACAATGATGTTTAACTCTGTTATCACAATTAGAAGATGCTCAACAACAATTGTTACAGTATAGTTGTATAACCCAAATCCGCGCAACGTCACGTCGTGCCTCCCAACACCTGGAGACTTTACGTTGTGTTTTTGTATTGTCGATGTATGGTGCGATGCAGGACGACGTGGTCAAGAACTCTTTTTTTATCGATGCAGAACACTCTCTCTGCAAAACAACGTCCGCACTTCCACACGGAACAACGTCAAAACAACAATACGTAGTTAGTGATGTGTCGTTCGCGAGTGATTCGTTCAAAATGAACCGAGTCATATTGAACTCACGAATCACTCACAAATCACTCACTGCGAACAAATCACTCTCTGCAAACTAATCTTTCACTGTGAACTAATCTATCATTGCAAACGAACCATTCTCTGTGAACTAATCTTTCGCCGTGAACTAATCTTTCGCTGTGAACGAATCATTCTCTGTGAACTAAACTTTCACTTCGTTCTCGCAGATTCGTTCTGTTTGTCACGTGACAGAGAGCTCGGGTCTCTTTTGCTCTCATTCATCTTCACATTGTGGTGTGTTTTTATTTCTTATGTTTTCACATGGTATTTTAACTGCTTATGGCATTTTGTGTACTTTGTAGACTTTGTCAGCGGAAGCAAACCATGTTGCCTTATGTATTTAGTGTCGGAGAACCGCAGCCTTATTTACAACGACCACAATAGGGCTAAAGCGCCACCTGCTGTAAAACGAATGAAATGATTAGTTCAAGATTCGTTCACGACTCGTTCATTTTACTCTTCGAGAGTCAAAGATTCGAATCAATAAAAAGAGTCGGTCTTCCCATCACTAAATACGTAGTGATGTGTCGTTTGCGAGTTATTCGTTCGAAATGAACGAATCTTTCATGTGACTCGTGAATCCCGAGTCATATGAAAGATTTGTAACTTGTGACTCCCGAGTCATATAAAAGATTTGTTCATATTGAACTCACGAATCACTCACTGCGAACAAATCACTCTCTGCGAACTAATTCTTCACTACGAACTAATCTTTCGCCGTGAACTAATCTTTCGCTTCGTTCTCGCAGATTCGTTTCATTTGTCACGTGACAGAGAGCTCGGGTCTCTTTTGCTCTCATTCATCTTCACATTGTGGTGTGTTTTTATTTCTTAGCTTTTCGCCTGGTTTTAATTACTTATGGCATTTTGTGTACTTTGTAGACTTTGTCAGCGGAAGCAAACCATGTTGCCTTCAGTATTTAGTGTCGGAGAACCGCAGCCTTCTTTACAACGCCCACAATAGTCAAAGATTCGAATCAATAAAAAGAGTCGGTCTTCCCATCACTATGGGATACGGTGACCTTTCAGAAAAAAAATAGTAACAACCGCCTTAAACATTTGGGCAAAACCCAGGCTTTGGGTTATCAGGTTTTTATTAATGCAGGAAAAAACGATAACTAAATATATATAATTGATAATTCTTATCAATTTTACATAATTAAGTTAATATCGTCTATAATATGGGTTGTCCACTAACTATCGGACATCCCTAGCCAAAATAAAAGTTTTCCTTATTTCAAATGACAATTCCCGCCTTAACCAGCCCACATCTATTTAAAATGTGCTGCAGCAGAAGGAACAAGGGTTTGAAGTGTTTGAGTGTGTGGTTGTCGTGACAGGTCGGACCTGTGCAGTCTGTGTCCAACCGACCGGTGCGAACATGCTCTGCTCACGCACTCACCGTACGGCTCTGCGTGGCTGAAGTGGATTAAGTGATCCAAGTGAGGGCTGTGGAGGAGGACGCGCCACCATTACGGTGAATGATCCTCCTGTCCTCACTCTCCAACCTGCACTTCACAGCAGCCCAAAGTGGGAGAGAAGGAGGCGAGGTGGCGACACAGCGTGGGAATTAGCCACTTTAGCTCCAAATTTTTATATCAAGGACACTTAGCGCGTGTAAATTAGCCACTTCCCTGACAGACGTAGAGGACGGATTAAACAAACAGGCCACACAGAAACCCTAGTGATGGGACAGAGAATGAGTCAAAATGTCCTCCTGACTAAAATATCCTATTATAATCTTCCGACTTTTCTCCTTTCCAAAAAAAGTCCTACATGACTGTGAGATCCTAGCTTAGCGTCTGGTTTGATAACAGGCTCTTAGAGAATCACGACGTTAGCCTTTAGAGAAACTTGAGCATGACATCAACCTACGGAGGATAATTTTGAATATTGTTGTGAATACTATGTCGGTTCAGGTGGAGTACAGTGCAGTGCAGTACAGTACAGCACAGTACAGTACAGTGCAGTACAGTGCCGTGCAGTACAGTACAGTACAGTACGGTGCAGTACAGTGCAGTGCAGTACAGTACAGCACAGTACAGTACAGTGCAGTACAGTACAGTACAGTACAGTGCAGTACGGTAGAGTACAGTACAGTGCAGTACAGTGCAGTGCAGTACAGTACAGCACAGTACAGTACAGTGCAGTACAGTGCCGTGCAGTACAGTACAGTACAGTATGTGCCACCAGCAAAAAGACTACAAAATGTCACTCATGGGGTTTTGTTATCAAAACTGCAGAAAGTTCTGTCATAGTACATGTCAGAACCCAGTTCTGATTTTCTTCTCCTCCTAGGACCACGGATAACCCTATCTATTTCTATTTATTTTACTTTTAGTTTTTGTTTGTATTTTTAGTTTGAATTAATCAATGTTATTATTCGATTAGTTCATTCTTTAGTGTGAACATTAGCATGCCTGCCTCGGACGCTGAGAGACCTGGGTTCGATTCCCAGAGGAACCACATGATCGGTCCCTGCTGGATCTGCTGTCAACACAAGAGTTGTCCAAATATGGGATCAGTGAATTTCTTTTTTTTTTTTTTTTTTTTTAAAAGCCTGATTAACTGAGATACAGTACATCAATGTTCTTAAAACTGACACAAAAATATCACAGAAAGTGACTGAACAGCAGGTGGATGTCTGTGTTTCACATGTTCTGTTGATAAAGGTAAACTGTCCTAATACAGAACCATGTTCTCCTTTATTATACAGTCCACGGCTGTAATTGCCTTTAATCCGTCCTCACCATCCTGTCAATTAATTTTTACCTCATTATTTCACTGTGGGTTTTGAACGAGCATATGCTGTATTGAGGTGGAAAAATTTGTAAAGAGCTTCTTTTTTCTCCTTTCATCTGCTCAAAGGGAACATTAAATGCTGGTGTGTCACACAGAGCCGTGTTCTGCATAACAGCTTCTTCTGAGCCGTGAACGCACCGCCATTTTCCTATCTAAGATCATTTTGTAAAAACGCAGGGCATTTAAAGGTGACATCATGACTTTTAAACTAGACCAAATGTTTACAGACTAGATTTTATTTTATTACAATAAAAAAGACATTGTTAGACTTAAAGTAAATATAAATATATTTTTATTTTAAATAATTATCAAGCTTAACCCGTCAACTGAATCCTGGGGCAGTGGAGGCCTTCAGGACCCCTTTCAGGTATTGCAAGAAAATGTTGGTACTTGCTCAATATGCCACAGCCGACCAGGGTAAGATTTGAACCCTCAACCCTGATATTTGAAGTTTGGGAAAAATGGCCAAAAGGTTTTTATGAACCCCTTAAGGAAGGAAGGAAGAGCCTTTATTGTCATATCAACAAAGTGATACGAGATTAGTTTGTACAACCCGTTCCAAGAATACATGAATAGACAATAAGACAATACAAATTGGTTAACGAGGCGAGACAGGAACAGGAAGGCCAGGACACAGCCACCTAAGGTGCACCCTATAATAGATGAAAAACAACTGAAAAACGCTGGGTAAGGAGGTGGAGGGAAAAAAGACAACTCCAAACTAGGCCCCGTGGGAAGAGGGGCCCAGTGTGGGATCTGGAAAAAAAAACCTCTCAGCACAAAGCACAATCAAGACATTATCACAACACGAGGACATCTGCACATGTGGGAGTTGGGCAGGAGAATCGGGGCGGGGGGTTACGGCACGATCGAGTCTGGGAGGGCCGCAGCATCTTGCGCCGCCCTCGACCTTCCCCGACCGCGTCGCAACAGGGGAGGGAGGGAGGCTGTAAGGGGCCAAAGAAGGCGTTGAATCAGGGGTAAGGGTAAGTGTCTCAGGGGGGAGGGGGTAGTGGGGGTTCGGAGCGTCTTGTCTGCATAAACATCCAGGAGAGTAGAGAGATAACCGTCCTTGAGAAGCCCGGTTATGTCTGGGAGCCAATGAAGATAGTAGATTTGTTTAGGGACAGGGCGACGCTGGAATCTTCTGTCTGCCCTTGAATGTCTCTGAATGTCTCTGAGTCTCCCGGTGGCTTGCTTCAATATGTCCGAATTTGGTGGCCAGATTCAGCCGAGCCGAGCCGCCAACTTCTCCAAGTTGGTATCCAGTATGCGAAAGCGCTCGAAAACCGCATCCAGTTTGCGGTTGATCTCGCAAATCGCCTGAGTCTGAGAAGGGTTGCTCGGGTTTGCTTCACAGATTTCATGATGACATTAGATTTCTGAAAAGTGCATCACTAGTTAAATAGAACCTAATTAAAAAAATATCTGCGCCATTTTGCAACTTAATTTTTATTTTTCGAGAAGACCGGGAAAAAATGATGGGGAGCAGGACACAGCTGAGGTCCATTTAGAATCTAAAGGGACCTCAGCTGGGACCTGCTGCCTATCAATTATTCCCAATCATTATACACAGTACAGTACACTGAATCATCTAAGCCTAATATTATTATTTAAGCCTAAAACATATGAGAACGGTATATTTCCTAAGAAAACAGGAGCAGCCATCTGAGTGGAGGTCACAGCGTGCTGACTGATGGAGGACAGGAGAAAAACATTTCAGTTTCCAGTTTCCAGAGGAGAAAAAAAATCTTTAAATTAAATGAACTAAAAGCTCTACCCTTGAATGTTCTTTAGCTGATACTCCAATACCAAATGTACTCTACTAGCACTCAGGTCAAGAATCAAAAGCTTAAGTGAGTTGAATTTGTTGTTTTGGTACTGCTCTTAGGTGTACTGTGTACAGCCCAAAACTAAAAACAGAAATTGATTATAAAGGTAATGGTTGATTATAAAGGTAACCGAGGAGATTCAGGGTAAAATTTAAGACTAAATTCAAATGAAATTCAAGGTTTAGATCAGTTTGATTTGATCAGTCATACTGTTGTGATAAAAAAGGTAAATATGCGACAATTATACGTAAAATTACAGCTACTTAATCCTAAATTGTTAATATTTTGTAAGATGATTATTTAATAATTCTTTGCTATTTTCTAGTTAATAATGTTGCAAATATTTAATTAATATTTTCAATATTTCGATTCATTCATGCAGTATTTAGTTATTTCATATATCATCTTACTTTTTGACTTGGGATTTGTAAATTGTAAGTGCTCAAATGATAATAATAATAATACATTTTATTTCACAGGCGCCTTTCTGTCACCCAAGGACACTTTACAGTGAATACAAAGACAACAGCACAGCATTAAAAAAAACAATAAAACATTAAAACATTAAGGACAAGTTAAAATACAGCAGTGAAATATCAGATGGCGAAGGCAATTTTAAACAGATGAGTTTTAAGTGCAGATTTGAATTGTAGGAGTGATTTGATGTTCCTCAAGACGGGGGGTAGAGAGTTCCAGAGCTGTACAGCGACATGAAGAAGGTCTGAGATGTATGCTGGAGCAGAGTTGTGGACAGGAGTGATGTGGTGGATGGAAGGGGTTCTAGTAATGATGCGGGCGGCTGAGTTCTGGACCAGTTGGAGCTTATGGAGAGACTTGTGGACAAACTTCTGTCTTTCGTCGCCATTTTGTTTCCATATTTATTTTGAGAGTTATTGAAAAACATTCGCAGCATTTCTTTTTTTTTTTTGACAAAAGATTTTGTTTCAGCAGTATCAACAGCAGGTGGCGGTGTGGAGCGTCCCTCCTCTAAGCCATTCCACAGAAGAAAATCGCACTGTTAGCCTGTTAGCAGCTACGGCGGTTGCGTTCGTCCTGCCGTGCGCTACACAGTAAACATGTTTCTGCAAACAGTGAGGCCGTGGTTGCTCCGGTGTCGGAGTTTACCCGTGGCCTGTTCCAGACCGTACTACGCCGATAAGGTTGCTCGACTCGGCTCTGAGGCTGACAAACAGTCGTCTATCTACCAGGTAGGTTAGCCTGATGCTAACGGCAGCAACTCTGAGCTGTCGGTGTTGCTCTAATGTGTCCTTGTTTATATAAACGTCAGTTTTTGTCGCTCGTTGAGGTTTTCACGGTTGCCAGGACATACTTTATATTGCAACAAATATTTATAATTAGTTACATAGAGGTTTTGCCGTATCCCGAAAACTGCAAAACAAGAGGTCATTAAACGCACTGACCGCTACAGCCATGACATTTCTGCTGCTTAATAGGTCAAAGTAAATAATAAAAATTAATATGGCTATTGCATGCATTACTTAAAAAATGTCATTATTATTCTACATTATGCAGGGTTTTTTGTTGTTGCTCGCTTTGTTTGCTTCCTGCAGAGTATAAATATCAAAGCTAGCATAGTGAAGCTACCACGAAAACATGAGAATTTTCCAAAAGTCCATGGTTAAAAACGTTTATAATCCATCTTTTAGCATTTTATCACTTTTTAGCATCTACTGTAAAATTCTATTCATTCATTTGTTATTCTTTTTAAGTTTATTTTAGTTTGGGTTTTCCCTGTGCTTACTGTTTGCTGTACAAATACGTTTTGTTTACAATTTAATAACTTATTATTGACCATGTCGTCGATTCTTTATGAGGTATCAATGTAGTGGTGACTTTACGTATAAATTAGGTTGCATCACCTTTTATATTACGTTAAATGTCATAATTTTTTATCTTTCAATAAAAAATATTGAATGATTATTTTGCAAAAAAACAACAACAAACAAAACAAAACAAGAAGCAACAAAAAACGTTGAAGCCCATATGATTAATTTAATGTTCAGTTGTAATGTCAAAATGTACCACTAGATGGCACCACCACCACACGCCATGTGTTTTATCTTCAGCGGCTGTAAAATTTGCTTAATTTCATTAAAGAAGAGTTAAGTTTCTTTACTATTTTATTTTTAATAATCATAACATTTCCGCATTTTAAAAAATGGCTTTCCTTTAAAATATTCCTCTTCTTAAATCCCAGGAAAATTATGAACAAATGCAAGTTCTTGTTGATGAACTGAAGAGTCGAACAGAGAAGATCAAACTGGGTAGGTAGGAGTCGACTGATGTGATGTGGTCAACACTGATTAACAATCACAGGACTTCATGTTTGATATGAATGTTTGATAAATTATTAATATCAATATTCTTTTGTCCATTAACCCCTTCTGTTTAAGGCCTCTAATAACAATGTTGAGTTCATGACGTCCATGACAAGTTACATTTGATAGTTCAACAGAGATGTTATTTATGTCATGAGAACAAGAGCCATCTCATGGTTCTATTTAAAGTTGAATATTTTTTGAACATCCTCTTTGTTCTTTTTACTTCAGGTGGAGGAGAAAAGGCCCGGAGACTTCACATCTCACGAGGGAAACTCCTGCCAAGAGAGAGAATAGACCGACTTCTGGACCCTGGGTAGTTTATCTTTTATCTGTTTCTCCTGGAGCGTAGACACTCATGACAGTGAACGCAGTTGTTAGACGTGGAAACACATTTCCTAATAGTAGTACTTAGTAGCATCAGTGGTAGTAGTAGTATTAGTAGTGGTAGTGGGAGAAGTAGTATCAGTGGTAGTAGTTATAGTAGTAGTGGTCGTAGTAATGGTAGAAGTGGTAGAAGTAGTGATAGTAGTAGTAGTATCAGTAGTGGTAGTAGTAGTAGTAGTAGTATCAGTGGTAGTAGTTATAGTAGTAGTGGTCGTAGTAATGGTAGAAGTGGTAGAAGTAGTGATAGTAGTAGTAGTATCAGTAGTGGTAGTAGTAGTGGTAGTAATAGTAGCAATGGTGGTAGTAATAGAAGTAGTTGTTGTGGTAGCAGTAGTGGTAATAGTAGTAATAATTTTAGTAGTGGGGTACTAGTAGTGGTAGAAATAGTAACAATGGTAGTGGCAGTAGTACGAGTAGTACTGGTAGTGGTGCGAGTTGTAGTATCAGTGGTAGTAGTAGTTGTACGAGTGGTATTAGCAGTAGTAATATAAGTGGTAGTACTAGTGGTAGTACTAGTGGTAGTAGTGGTCGTAGTAATGGTAGAAGTGGTAGAAGTAGTGATAGTAGTAGTAGTATCAGTGGTAGTAGTTATAGTAGTAGTGGTCGTAGTAATGGTAGAAGTGGTAGAAGTAGCGATAGTAGTAGTAGTAGTATCAGTGGTAGTAGTTATAGTAGTAGTAGTATCGGTGGTGGTAGTAGTATGTGTGATAGTAGTAGTGGTAGAAGTAGTATCAGTGGTAGTAGTATTACCTGTAGTAGTAGTAGTAGTGGTAGTAGTAGTAGTAGTAGTACTATCAGTAGTAGAAGTGGTAATAGTATCAGTAGTAGTAGTAGTAGTAGTAGTATCAGTAGTAGTGGTAGTAGTAGTTGTAGTAGTTGTAGTAACTCAGTTTGTAACAGGTTTATTCTCAGCAGTTTTATGTTAAATGCTATCAGGAAAATCCCTGCTGTAGTTTGGTGGAAAATGCTGGAAATATTTGATGAAGGAGAAGATTTGACAAATGTTTTCTTCAGACTGAGCCAACATCAGTGTGTGTGTGTGTGCACGCGAGAGAGAGAGAGAGAGTGTGTGTGTGTGTGCGCGCGCGCGATTGTGTGTGTGAGAGAGTGTACAGTATGTGTGTGTGTGAGTCCAAGTCCTTAAAGTTTTTCCTTTTTTTTGCAGGACACCTTTTTTGGAATTCTCCCAGTTTGCAGCGTATCAGTTGTACAAGAACGAGGAAGTCCCAGCAGGAGGAATCATCGCTGGGATTGGGAGAGTTTCAGGGTGAGTGCTGTGACCATGATAGGTTGCTGGTTTGATTCTAGACTCCTGTTGGTGAGACTCCAGATCATAATCAGTATCAAGTATTTGGAGATGTATTACAAATATTAAAAAAAAAATCATATTAAAAATACTGCGTTAAAACCATTTATTTTACATATTTATTTATCTTTTTGTCATGTGTTTTTTATTAAAGTTATATAGATGGCGCTGTAGAAGCACTATAATAAAATCTATAATAAAAATGTATTTCTTGTTTCTTGGTTTAATTGATTTTCCTTTTCCTTCTAAAAGCAACAAATTCCAAAACTGATTGTTTTGTTTTTTCTTCCTTTTCTCCTCAGGGTTGAATGTGTTATCGTTGCAAACGATGCAACAGTCAAAGGGGGAGCGTATTATCCAATGACGGTGAAGAAACACCTTCGTGCCCAGGAAATAGCCCAGCAGAACCATTTACCATGTATTTACTTGGGTGAGTTTTTCTTGCATTTACAGCCCATTGTACAAACACGATGCGTTCACTGTCATCAGTGCTATTTAACCTATGACGGATGGATGTTAAATGTTATTACCATGTATATTTACCTTGTGTATTTCTATATTTGTACCAAGCTTAATTTCTGTCTAAAAAAAGAGTGTTGTTTTTTTATATTTATATTTTCCTCCATGCTTCTTACATGAGATTTTATCATTAGTCTAAATATTTGGATGCTGTTCCTTCAGTGGACTCTGGGGGCGCCAATCTGCCCAGACAGGCAGATGTCTTTCCAGACAGAGATCATTTTGGACGGATCTTCTACAACCAGGCCAAGATGTCTTCAGAGGGAATCGCACAGGTGACACTATCCATCCATCCATCCATCCATCCATCCATCCATCCATCCATCCATCTATACATCTACCTATATATATTTATATACCGTAAATATAAATCTTAATATTTCAAAGTTGTCTTTAATGCTGCTGATTTGAACTGACAGATTACATGATTTGTCAAATCAACCTTCTGTGCACAACTTAAAAAAAAACACTTCAGTTCTGCTCCATTGCCTCTCTATAACTGTGAACAGAGCTCCCCCTGTCTGCTCACAGTGCAACTGCATGAATTTTCTGTCATCTCAAACTTTTTTTTTTTTTTTGTTTGATAAAGGATGTCAACAAACACATGTAGATAAACTACTACTGAGGGTTTGATGAGATGCTACTCTGGTTGTGTCACCGTCTGCTCTGTGGTTCTGGTTCTTTCAGATAGCAGTGGTCATGGGCTCCTGCACTGCTGGAGGAGCTTATGTACCGGCCATGGCAGATGAGAGCATCATTGTTCGGAAACAAGGAACAATTTTCCTCGGAGGACCTCCGCTGGTAGGTCCACTTCCTGGGTGTTGACCGTGATTGGTCCACAGGTTCTGTCAGATTTGTTGCTCACAGACAACAAACCACCAGAACAGTGTTGTGAAGTTGTCGACCAGTGTGTGTTTTTTTTTTGTTGTTGTTTGTTTTGTTTTTTTCACATTCAATTATTTTTACTACCAATTTATTTCTGTTATGTTCTGTGTCAACCACCAGAGGGCGCACTTGTTCTCAGACATTTAAATGGGAGAGTTGTTTATCTCAGTCACAGCATCCTACACAAAACAAAACATGTAAATATATAATAATACATATATGTATCACAAAAAATACATGGAAATACAAATATATTACATGAGCATACGCAGTTTTGGGGAATTTTGTATTCACGTATAAATGAATGAATATGGTTTTTATAATTTTCTCAGCCTGGTTGCCCCGCAGCGGTCCACGACCCACATGTTTAAAAATATTGACATTTTAAAAAAAGAAAAAAAAAAACCCAGCAGTGCCTTCATCTCATGTCTTTTTGAGGATGAATTTCTTGGTTCTCTACATTTACTTTAAATAGCATTTGAAATTAAGACAGAGTTTATTTCTCCGTGTATTTATTTATACTCACTCATATCCAGGTACTGTGTGAATCATTTACATGTACTTTGCCCAAATCCTCTGTTTGGCTGTTCTCATTATTTTTTATTTTTTACCTCTGACTCAGAGTTACAGCCTGAAAGAAAATAAAGTATAAATAGAATTTTTAAACAATGCAAAAGACAACTTTGTATGAATATCATTTCTATATATTTTTTAAAATTTATTTTCATATCTTTTTATGCTTTTCTTTTGTTGTTCAGGTCAAAGCTGCCACTGGAGAGGTGGTTTCTGCCGAGGATCTCGGTGGAGCTGATCTCCATTGCAAGTATGAAAGTTTTTTTTTTTCTTACAAAAATATAAATTTCTGACTTTTTATTTATCACAACAATGACAAAGTAGACAACAATTAGAGAAGAAATACCGGATGAAAACCGTCAGTTATTCCGGAGGCTTCTGTTGTTACTAATAAATATGTCAGCTGATTGTTTTACTGTTATCTGGTGTCTTTTGCAGGAAGTCTGGTGTGACAGACCATTACGCTTTAGAAGATAATCACGCTCTTCATCTGGCCAGGAAGGCGGTCAGAAACCTCAACTACAGGAAGAACCTTGAAGTCAGTACCACTTTAAATTTCCTTTTTTTTTTTTTTTACTTTTCCATCTACCTTCTACTGTTGGCACTGACCCTAAGTTTCTCTCATCAATCACAAGGTCACAACAGAGCCAGTTGAAGCCCCTCTCTTCCCCCCAGACGAACTCTACGGAATAGTTGGAGCAAATCTGAAACGTAACTTCGACATCAAAGAGGTAGGTGCTTTTCATATTTGTATTTTTTTTTTTTTTTTGAATCCCAGCATACTAGGTCAGAGGTCACAGCTTTAAACAACAGAAGACCCTTTTCTTTTTTACATTATTTTACAACCAGAATTTACTTCAGAGCGCAAGTGTTTGTTTATTAGAAAATATATGGCTTAATTTTTTTTTTTTACTCGCCATAATATACAGATTGATACTTCTGGCTGTATATACAGGACTTTGTATCAATGTGAAAGTGTAAGAAGTTTTTGTTCTTTGGAAATTGGAGAAAAAAAAATGTATGCAGTGTTACGTCAGGATCTTTTCTGTTTAACCCAGTGGTTCCCAATCATTTTTGGTTTCTGACCCCATATTGACATCACAAATCTTTGGCGACCCCTAAGAATTTTTTCCCCATCACATGACCTCAACAACCAATCAAACGCCAGCTCAGATACTTTTAAATGCTGCTTTTTATTTGAACCGGATTTATATTCATGACAGTGAAATAATACTGTTTTTAATTATAATTTCAAATATATATATATATATACATTTTTAATTATCTATTAGACATTTTAGGTGACCCTGTGTGGTGTCGCGACCCCCAGGTTGAAACAGGCAGCTTTAATGTGTAAAGATTTGTCGTTACTTAATGGATATTACACTGTGTTGCCGTTAAGAGGCCGTTTGATTTGACAGACAACGTTTATTCTCGTAAGTAACGTGGAATAAAAGCACATTTGTCTCCTCCGGCGACAGAACGCTCTTTAAATGTTTGTACTTGTCTTCTGTTAAGAGCCCGGTCTCTAATGGGTGACGATGATGTCATCCATCACCGCCTTTCTTCTCTACACGATGCATTGGTTCTTTGCCAAACGTCCTGATTACGTTTTGTTTTTTTTTTTGTGCTGA